GAGATGTAAACAAAGATCATTGCTCAAGTCTTTGCAGTTTAAAGATCTATTGAAATGATGTTGAGAATAGTCAGGGGTGGTCTGGATAAAGAAACAGAGGCTCTGGTTATTTATTTATTTATTTTTGTGTCAAACCAATTTACTGCTTTATTAAAACTATGATACATAATTCATATAATAATCATTACAGCAGACCAATGAAATCAGTTGATAACCAGAAGGTGTGATAAAATATTTTTATGTGATGGTATTTGAAAAGGTCACCAAATGTGAGAAATATGTGGTATATTTTTAAGTTTTATGATTTGCACTCTAGCAGAAAGAAATTGTTCAAATCCAATGATTGGAATAGGATTAGTTTCTTCATTTTCTATGAACATGACATTTGAATCAAGTATTAAAATTGAATAGATTGAACTAAGTATTGTACAGTGATGGAAGATGTACAATAGCCATCCTAAAAAAGCACAAGGACATTGATTATTTTTAGTATCGAAAGTTGATGTTATCATAGTAAACCATTGTAAAAGATAAGAGAAAGAAAATAATTGTCTCTTGCGTGAAATGGTAAATTCTGGTAAGCACTGAGTTCCAGAAATCAATAAAACAGTTTTATACTTTTTCATCAAAAGCATGAAAGTACTGTGTATAAGCATGTGTCATATTCTATAACCCAAATCTTGTTTTGAGTGGAGGTGTGTGATTGCCTTAATATCTAAAAGTTAATTGAATATTCCCAGCCAAACAAAATGGTATGATGTGTAAAGATTTGAAATTATATTCATAATACAAATGAACAAGCATTCCATAATTCTCAGAAAGGTTGACTTACCTGGTGAGTTAGTGGGCTGTAATGACTCTTTAAAAGTGATTATAATTATACCAGTGATTAATAACTGATTGCTGATTTATGGATACAGAAAACAGTAAAACAAGTTAGGCTGATCATTAGTATTGGTACTTAACCATCACCATGATATGGATAACTTTAAAATAAAATAAAAAAAACATATATCCAGTGTGGCAGATATTTCATTCTTACAAGCTTAATCTTTTGGCCTATATTTTTCTCAGATAATATTGCTGTTGACTTGACACTAAATCTTTTTTGATAACAGTATTAGCAAAGTTTATAGGAGAGTGATGAAAACTACTGTACCCTTTATTCAGTAGACAATGTTCATATTCAAAGATAGCTTTTTTGTATTGTTTGTATAGGATACTTTTTATTATAGTTATTTGTGTGGTCAAAATTATAACATTTTGTAATGTGAAAGTAAACTAGGAGGATCCATAGAGAGATATTTAGGGAATGTAATAAATCTCATGTCTGTAACACACTGCCAATAATGTGCTTCTGTTCTTGCTCTTATTTTATGAAATGTTATTTTATTTGACTTGTTATAACTGTTTATTGTGCCCATATTTTTATATGCTGAATTTTGAGTTTTACTTTTTAGCTTTTTTGAACATGTTACAGTAAAATTCATTATTCAAGATCTTAATATTCTGAAATGATAATTGCTTGCTATGCTTTCATGCCATATTTAACATTACAGGTGTGAAGGTTTTCAAAAGAAAAAGCTCGAGAATATCTGTTTAGCAAAGTGCCATGGGTCTTTTATTCATGCAAGAAGTGTATGACACAAAGCATGAACTTTATTTTGGAAGTAATCAGATTATAATGGTAATAACAAAAATAAAAATATTGATGTGGGGATATCTAAATTAACACTACTATATCATGGTTTGCTCAGCCTGACAATAGGACCAAGATTAATTTATGGTTATACAACAAGCCAACTTTATATGTAAGTTTTAATAAGAATATTTCCTTTTTTTAATTGGGAATTTATAGTCCAATATTTATTTACTTTAGTAAAACAGATAAAGTCATGCTCATGGTTTACAGCAACTGAGCCATATTGATGTAAAATACATGATTAAAGTATGTGATAGAAATAGCTGTTAAGTAGAAAACTGGATTATTTATGAATATTCAGTTAGGTTATTTTCAACTATTCACAAAATATGCAGTGGAGGAAAGATTACGTAACATGAGACTGGCATGTATAATGTAGCAGACAGTATTTACTGTACCACCAGATAAAGGGTGTTCATTCAGTAATTCTTGGCATAGGGCCAGGCTCTCAATTGGCAACTTGAAACACACATTCTGTAAGTACGTTTTGTGTACAAATTTTTGAAGTTATAGTTTTTGAGGTTATAGCTCAGTATATGTGAGCTGTCTTCTCCAACCCTCTGCTGAGTTTGTGCCATTTAATCACAGAGAAAATTGTAATCAGTTGCTGAGCCAAATTGACAGGTAACGTTTGTTTGGTTCTATTGTGTAGCACAATAAGAGTTCTTTGTTACTATTTACTGCTCCTGATTATGTTGATCTAGGTTCTATAGGTAAAATATTTTTGTGAATTTATAGAATGTAAAAAATCATTTCAGTCATTTGTTATTGTTTATACAATGATGCTTTAACAATATGATATTAGAGTGTTTTGAGCTTTTATTTTATTTATAACCTTTGAATATCACCATAGAAAAGAATCCATCAGATTCTGAGATTCTTAAACAAGAAAAATATTTATTGCCTTACAAAGATATCTGAAACTATATGGTAAGCTTAACATTTTGAAGTATTTTGTGCATATGTCAGCTTGAACAAATAGCAGTTATATTGAATTTCAAATGTGCTCAACCAAAACCGTGTTTTCCCTTCCATTTAGCCACAAACTGCACTATTTTTCCTGTAATTATGTCAGTCCCCCCCACCCCACCCCCCAAAAAAAAATCATACAGGGGCATATGTACAAGAGAAAGTGCTATATCATCAGTTTTAAATATCAGCAAATCAAAATACAGATAACTTCAATCCACATCTAACAGAACATTTGATTTGGTTTTGGGGAGAGCGTCAGAAAAGCACCATCTGAAAATTCATCACCTTGGTAAAAACTGAATGTGGTGAAAATCATAAATGAAGAAAAAGGAAATGAGAAAAAAAAAAAATGAAAAGCCAATGATATCTTCAACAAAATTGTATATTCATGGAAAACAAGAGATCATTTTTCAAGGAAATAATACTATTCTAATATTTCTTAGACACATTACTTCCACCCCCCCTTACCCCACTTTTAGCAGGCATTATTCTATTCTAACCCACAAAATCTATACCTCTATCAGTTTTATTGGCTATGAATTGTGTTTTTATTATTGCACAAAAAAAACAGATCCCCATGAAAAAACAATACAAGAGGACCAACAGTTAGATGTTATGTCTTCAAGGGTTTTTAAAACTTGGTGGAATCGGTTGTTGAGACTTGCTTGTTGCTTCATCTATTTGCATGAAATAAAAAGCTGAAATTGTCCATAGCCATATGATTAGCTTTTGGCATTGGCTGTGCATGTGATTGCCTAAGGTGCCACCACTTGGAAGGGGGATCATCAAAAGGGAAAAAATACAATAATAAATGTAATCAAAAATGATTGCAGACTGGTACCCCTGCCCATCCAACATTTTCTACAGTGAGATACCATCACTGCCATTATCAGGTATATATATATACTATGTGGGTATAGTTTAGGGGGTGCCAAATCTTCATCTCCCTTCGGATGCCAAATTGGCTAGAGCCACCAATGCCTAGTCAATGAATATGGGATGATTATGCATGGCTAAAAGACTTACTGTACATTTTTACTTCACATACTGTACTAAAAGAGTAAAACAGTTATACCAGTTACCATTTTGCTTGCAACGGACCTAGCACAAGCCTTAAACACTGCAAACGAAAGGTTAGATCCACTTACCTACAGACCTGAATAAATGACCAGTATATGATAAAAATACAGATGAGGTTGAAGTAGTGAAGCTATGATAAATGATACACTTCATGACAAAAGGAAAATGACAGTTGCCAGTATATAAATGACCAGTATATGATAAAAATACAGATGAGGTTGAAGTAGTGAAGCTATGATAAATGCCCAAATATGAAAATTTATCCTAGAGATTCCATTTCTTAAATATGACAAGATTATACATACCTTACATATGACTGCAAGCTGTGACACTCATTAATGGATGCATACAATAAAATTTTATGAAAATACATTCCTTTGTATTCCTGTAATTAGCAAGCATGCAGACCACAACAGAATATAAGTACACCAAGTATGACAGTGACCATCAAGGAATCTCTTTACCAAATATTGGATAAATAACAAGAACCAACCCGTAACAAGCTGACAAAATATATCTATAACAGCCTAAAGCATCTTGCACCTGAGATGACAATCAATTCTAGCCTATGAGAAACATAGTATTACTAATATTCAGACTACAGTAATCCACACACTCTAAATGTTAAAATGATGCCTGCTTTGTTTAATATTGTTTAAGACAAAGTATTCATTTGGATATTAATAGTTGAATCAATTAAATTACAAGAAGCAATTCAAGGAACCCGACCTAGCTATTGTTTAAAGGTTGCCATATATCATTCCCTTTATCCATTGAAATACAGGTTGGTTAATCTTTGCATCTTGAACTACAGGCCACTTGATTTTGGTGTATTAAGCTACAGGTGACTCCTTTGTTCTGCAGAATTATTATTGTTAACCTTGGGTCTCCTGAATTATGGCTAGGTCAACTGTAGCCTATGCAACTAAAGGTGCCTTAACTTTAATGATCCAAATTTACGCTATTGCTGGCTCAACTTTAGTCTATTGAACTGGCCCAGTATATTTATAGTTCTATTCATATTATTAACCTTATATTGCCAGTATTTATTAGGTACATAAAAAGGTTTAAAAAGTCTTATTATATAACCATTTGCATCTAATTTCTATCTCTAACTTCTGTAGTAAAGTAAAAAAATTGTATCATTCTGTACTCTTGAAATAGAGGAATATCTAATAATATTTTCATTACACAACACTTTATCCTACAGCTATAATAATCATAATCAAGGGTATAAACAACTGTAGCCACTGAATATATATTTATTTCCCATTACATAAGGAATTAAACATGTATATATAAAAAAGTAATACAAGATTTCTTTTTATAAAAGTCTACATGAGATGACATCCAAAAAACATGTATTATCTATAACTTAATAATAATCATCTTGCTAAGTCTACTGTAAATTGCACAATATAATTTCATCATCATTAATATCATGTAAATCTTTGCCTGACTTACCTTTCATGCACTGGACATCTATATACTTAGTCACCATTACCACAAGTCATACTTTTCTACTTTAACAGTAAAGGCTGACAAATCAATATAACTGGATGGAGGATATCACCAACTTATATTTAATTTTGTTTTATCTGATGACTCAGAGTAATATAGTGACTAGACTAACTGCTTATAGAAATATAAATGCATTACTTTCTGAGAAATTATTAAAGAGTAATACAGAAACACATTGTTCTATATGTATGTATTCAATATATACACATTATATCATACATGCATATGCTTACAAGCATAAATATAAGCCCACACCTCATGCTTACTCCTACACTCATACACTTACAAGACACGGGGCATAATTCACTGATAAAATTCCCATCCCTACACAATCTAGATATCACATAAAATCCACCTGGAATTTTATAAAAAGTTGCTGCTAACAGTTACCGAGCTGGCATAACAGTGAGTGGCTATCATATCACCTGTTACTTATATTACTATTTAATGACACTTACACATAACCTGCAGCATAAAGAATAACATCAAGGTTAACCGTTTGAAAACAATTTTGACAGAATAGCTGCAAATGACATCCCTATACCTGCTCCAACTGCCATAAATGTAAAAATCTGATAGTAGCTATACTCAACAACATATATTTCTGATTTTCCATGAAAGGACTTTGCGGGCTCTTCATCTAGTAACAGTGATTCCCCTCCATTATTTTCTGATGACAGAAATACCTTAGCAAATACTGACTCTAACTGAGAGTTTATCTGTTTGGAAAGAAGCCTCCTTTCTTCATGCAAAAGAGAGGCAACATTACCTGTAATGGTTTTTTCTTCAGCTTTAATTAATTCAGACATGCTCTTTTTCAGTGACCCTACAGCTTTTATCAACTTATCTATGTCTTTTTTAGCACTGCCCACTGAATTTGTTAAAAGAGCCAGTTCATCTTTAAATGCCTTTTGGGATACATGAGAATCTACTGTCTTGGGTTGAGTACTACCATTGGCTAACATACTAGTAGTACTCAGTTTTTCTGAGATGCTATTTATAACATCACTATGCATCTGAGCATACCCAGCCATCAATTGCTTGCTGTTGGTGGTCACATGCTCCTTCACTTCTCGGATTCTCACCCAGTTATTGATGGATGTGATGATCGATGCAAGAGCTGCTGACACCAATGATGCAATAATTGACCTGTGTGGATAAAGGGAAAAAAATATATATATCTGCTACATCCCATAAATATGTAAAATTCTAATTATTAGTAAACAGAAACATCAGACACGGCTCATAAAATTTATATCTAATATACCAAAGCTGTCAGATTTCTCTCTGTACTAGCAGATGACCAGATAGACTGAAACTATAAAATGAAATCACAGAAAACAACCAAACAGACAACATACATGATTTATTATACAAAACAAGTGCACTCTAAAACTTATCAACTCATACACTGATAAAATCCTAACAGTGATCATTCATAAACACATATTTCCACACCTTGCACAAATAGGAACAAGCTTCCCAACACATAACAGTAAACATGAAGGAGACAATAGGTTTTGCTTACCAATATTTGCTCTGTTCTGCCTGAAACCGTTCTCTTTCATGACAGTCACGGATAGCAGCTGAAAGCTGGCTGAAGGTATCTCGTTCCAAACGCTCACATATTTGAAATTCCCCACGTAGTGTCTTCAATTTTACATTCATCTCTCTTGCCTGTGTAATAAATACTATTTAAGCGATTTACTACTATGAGTAAAATCTGCCTTTATAATAACAAAGTGAAATCAAGAATGAGATGCTAATGGGTGTATTATAAAGTACACTTTTGAATGGCAAGAAGCACACAAAAAAATTCTGAAGAATGAAAATTCAGGAAGAGAGTGAAACTTAGCTTGGAAATAAATGGGATGCACTAGGCTACTAATAATGTGGCAAAAACTTGAGAACTAAACCAAATGATTGGGAAAAAAGTTTGATGCATTGCCAAGACACATCATATGTGTTAACTACTGGGATACACAAGGCACACACAATACTGTTATACCCTAATGGGAAAACCATAGATTATAATTCTGTGGGCTGATTAGTTAGTGATATGACAGAGGTATCACCAGTTTATCTTGTTAAATCAGTATTAACTTGTATTTATTGGCAAAAAATTACCGATATTCCAAAAATCACATAAAACATCTACAAACATGACACAACTTCTGAAATGTTCAAAATAATCACTCTAATGGCTGTGGAGTGCAACGATGCAC